CCTCTGGGTGATGTCCCCACGGCTCTAATTGCCCGCAGGATGTGTGGGAGAGGGGCCATGGAGAGCAGGAAGACCTGATGCTAGTCAGGGAGCTGAGCACAGCCTCTCCCCTGGTCACCAGGCCTTCCCCCTGCACCGTTCTGCCCCCCAGCACATGAACAGCCACACTTTAATTGCAAACGTGTTCCCAAAGCACCTTTCACCAGCCCCTTTATGTGCTGGGAACATCCCTGCATCTCCTCTCCTCACAGGGAAGGCTCTTTTCAACTCCCAGAAATTGAAATGGGAAACCAGAGAGAAAAGGGAAAATTCTCCTCCCCACACTGGAAGAAAATGTGCATGAGATTCTGTGTCACCTACAGGAAAGCAGGACACACTGGTGTCACATCCCTTCCCTGCAGGTCAGCCCTGATGTTCAAAAGCAAAACGAGGAGGCCAGAAGCACCTACCATAGCTTGATTTGCTCAGTGCAAACCTGAAAATTATAAACTGACAATAGCAGCATGGCAACGAGGTGGGCAAGAGGCTACAACAAAAAAACTGCTAATGATTTCTGCTCCATGCACATGGACCCAATTCCCATCCTCATCAAAGATGCTCCTGCACATGAGAAATTTAGAACTGTGAAAGAGACATAGTGTTAGGGAAGAGAGTGCTGCCCTAGAATTGACACTGGCAGGGGATGTTAAAGGCACGAGGATGAGTTGCCACTACTTGAGTAAGAATAAAAGGAGAAGGTGGACTGACTGCTGAGTGGTCAGGGAGCAGGAGATGCAGAAAGGTGTGAGGAACTCATCAGACTGTTGGCTTCCATTTTCACCCAAAAGATTTCCCAGTCTCCTGGGCCTTGAGTCATGACTGAGAAGAGAAACAACCATCAGGGTTTGAGATTACTGAGGGTGTACTCATGAGTGTACTGTACAGTGTACAACTGTACAATGACCATCAATGGCACTGCACAGGCAGCATAGCAGAATGCTTTTAGAGTTGACTCTGTCATAGCTGGACCACTTTCTATCATCTTTGAAAGCCCAGTGGAAATTGAGAGAGGTCCCAATCACTGCAAAAAAGGAAATGTTACATCCCTCTTCATGAAAGGCCCACAGGACTACGTGGGGAGCTGCAAGGTCTTCAGTTTCACTTTGGTGAGGAATGTGCAATGGAGTGAATCCTCTCACATCACATTTCTGGGCCATGCAGAGGAAGAGTCCACATGGTTCTCCCAGGGTAAATTGTGCCTCACCAGCCTGATTGCCTTCTCTCATTAAATGGGTGCATTTGTAGATGGAGAAGAACAAACATCTTTTATCCAGACTTTAGCAAGGTGTTTGACATCGTCTCCTACCATATTTTTGCACACACCTTAGGGATTTACCATGTAGAGGGTTAGGCAACCTCATGCATAGAAAGCTGTTTGGGTGGTCAGGCTCAGAGGGCAGTGATGAATGGGTAGTCCTCTTGGGGAGCCAAGAGAGAAATAGAACAACAGGGATGACTCCAAGAATCTGACCCTTTTACCGTCTCTATTAGAAAGAAGAAAACACTTGCCATGATTGTAGATGACCTGAAACTGCAAAGGCAAGACCAGGCATGTGCTGGAGGGCTACCCTTCAGAGGACCTAGACAGGCAGGAGAAAGAAGCTGCAGAAATCTCACAAAGCTCACCAAGGAAAATGCCAGGTTCTGTACCAGGGACAGAATAACATGCCACAGTTCCTCTGTTACAAGCTGTTTCAATTTAACCAGGTTGGGCCTGAGTGCCTGAGTAGCAGATCTGCAGAAGAGACATGGTCAGAAGGCAAAAGGTGGGCCAGCAGCTTTGGCTGGCAGTAAAGAAGGCCAAAAGCATCCAGGACTGGATGAGCAG